TCTGTTTCCTACAGAGGGCGCCTCTTGGCTGTGCAAGCCTCTAGTTCAGCTTTCTGCTTTCAATCCAGAAATGTGTCAGCAGAACACAGTCAGCCATGGACTGGCTGGCTCTGAATATTTCATATTCTACAAATATAACCTTGACTCTGTCCCAGCTGTCTCAAAATTCAATCCTGATCTCACTCTCCTCTCAACCAACATAAACTGAGCGCCTTATTTGTGTCTATACCAAAAGATGAGCTGCAGGTACTAAAGCTAAAAATTTAATGTGTTTGTGGAAACTGTGACAAGAAATAAATAAATAAATAATCAATCTTACTTGCCTTCCTTCTGCTTCCAGATTGAGAGAAAGATGTTTCCCATAATCCAGAAGGGACTATATCATCTAGGTCCCAAGTTGCTAGTGTAAAAATACTTAAGTATTTTTATTGTTCTGTGTTTGAGAATTTGTCATTGCTGCTATGGTAAACAGCATCTCCTGTGGAACCCCACCTCTTGCCTCATTTTCAGGACACCTAAACCTCGGCAGAGAGAAGCCGGTAGCTTTCTGGGCGCAAGGTGAAAGAGATTTATCTTGTTGAGTCTATTTACACTCCTCACACCAAAACACCCCCATTTCCCTAGGACGGTCCTAGATCCCTTGAACTGTGTCCTAAGGCTGAAGTATCTTCTTAAAGCTGTTTTGTTTCTGCGGTAGCAGTGGGTATCTGTTTAGGACTTGAAACTGGAAAGCACGTAAGTTACCTGCTGCAGAAGATATCACGGCTTTTGCATGGGCAGAGAGAGCCACAGCAGTCTCCAGGGCAGGGATGCCTTCACTTGTCTGACGGGTACAGTGGTCACAGGTGCTCAGACAGATTAAAAACCCTTCCGCCGTGTTGCCGCCACCCACGCTGCCTTTCTCCCCTTCCACACTCTCATGTCAGAGACCTCTGGGCAGTGCGCTGCGGTCTCCGTGCTCCCACCAGGCACTCGCACAAAACCACGGTCACTAAGGACAGACGTCATGCCAAGGAGAGGACAAGGGTGTAAGAAGCCTCTTGTCCTGGCAGCCCACAGCTCCCTCCCTCGGGAGGCCTGAATGGTGATACGATGCAGGGGAGCATTTTAGAGGAATTTTTATGAATGCACCAGTCTGACATTTATAAACTTCCATTATTGATGTATTCATTTACAAGGCACATTAGATGCAGAGCTTTTTATTAAACTGCAGAGTGTTTTTATACAACGTAGTTTAAGAAAAAGAACTGCCATGTATCTAGATAAACCAGTCTGTTACAGCTGAATATAGCCTTCGCAGAAGTTCTTTTAAATTCTTTTAGAGGTCTTAAAATAGTCTTAAAACAGGAATTCTTTCATTGTAACAGGTATTAAATAGCAGTGTGCAAAAATGAACATGCCTCTTGCACAGGCACATAGGGAAAATGTTACCCTTTGCTGGGTCAAATTTCACTGTACCTAAGCTCAGCAGAAAAGATCACCAGCAATGTTTTATTGCATGGTGGACTGGAGACATAGGCTCGCTCCTTCCAACTTTCTTCCTGAGTTTCGCTTTTGGATGTGTATATAGACAAAACATGTGAAAACCATTATCTCCTTCATATTTAGAGCTTGGAATGACAGGAACATCCCTGTGTTTGGTTTGTACCACCCTTGGGAGGAGGGATTACCTTGGCAAGGAAGGCTTCCATCTAGAAGAGAGTTGAAAAGATCACTAAGTTTCCTGGCTTTTTAGAGGGATGATGATGCAAGAAATTTCTATTTCCCAGTGATTCCTTCACAAAACCATCATGGGCAAGCCTTCTTTCAGCTTCCTGGGAATGGGGAAATATTATGTTATTTCTTGCAAATTCCTTTGCTCTATATTTACGTACTGCCGACATTTTTTCCCACTGTTTGCTTGCTCTGAAGAGAAGCCTCGGTTTTTTTGAACATACTCAGTTTTCTGCTCCAGATGTTCAGAAGTGAAATGTTCATGCAACGAGCTAGTTTGGAACTTAGCCTCACTGCCGCTTAGTGTTTTAGGCTTTCCTTTTCTTCTTTTTTTTTTCCCCAAATCCGTTTGAACTAAGTTTCCCATGCTCTTTTTCCTTTTACATGTTACCTCAGTGTGTGAACACTAGTTTTTTCTTTTTTTCACAGAAGTATAGTCTATTTCTAATAAAGTCTTATCTGACAGCATCCAGCTGCTTTTATGGACCTACAGCAAATAATATTTTGCACTGGGGAAAAACATCGGAGGCAATTATGTGGACAGCATGTGCATAAGCTGTAACATAATGAGCATCATGTATTTTAGAATAAATACGTACTAATCACGTCACCTCTGGACTCCAAATGTTGTCATGACACTGAGCTATATGATAGCACTGACGACGGGATTGTTAGGAGAAACTGCATCCATACATTGTTAGTGATTATTTTTCTTTCCATTTATATTAATGCATATTAATACTTGCATTACTTTTGCCATTTCTCTTTCTCTCCTCACAAACCTTCTCTCTCCCATCTGTGTTTTTTGCGTGTTAGGTTCATTTAGCCTGCAAGCTCATTCAGTACTTGGCCCAACAGTTCTCACAAGTCGCTCACCTGCTTACTAGCAGAGGCACCCCATTGAACTCTCGTTTAGCTCTTTATTCCCCACCTCTAGTTTGCTGCCTGTCGCTGCCTCGGCCTTAGCATGGCACCTTTATTCAACCGAATCTCCAGTTGCCGAGATGGTTTTGACAATTGCTTCCCATACATTTGCTGCCACATCTGCTTGGAGGTATTTACCACCAATCTCAACCCTCCTTTCCGTCTTCCAAGGCACTTGTGATTTCTCTTGACTTGTGACTAAAAATAGTGGCTCATACCTGGGCCATGCAAATTGTTGCAATAAATGTGCTCTAAGCAGTTAGTTATGATACATGTAGAAAGGTGGAACAATTTAATGCCATTTTTCAGTATGCCTATATTGCTGTTGATCAAAGGGATAACCGAAGTGAGATATCTGATGAAAATCATCTGCTTGAGAATGCAAATGCTTTTGCTTGTCTGGCAATCTGCACTATTTTATACGCTGACCCTTAACACAGACTTCAGTGAATTTTCTTTGATAATAAACGAGAGAAACAATTTAGATCAAAGCTGAGGCTTACATGGTCCTGTGTCATAAAAGGTTTTACAGCCTGCTTAATTCACTGCAGAGGAAAACTCTCCCATTGAGAGAATGGATGGTTCTGTAGAGGATATTTTAGTAACAGCTGAAATAGAGGACTTAAATCTGCATTTCGAATCTGATAGTTTAGAAAAAGTAAACAGTATCAATACTGACAAATAACGTATTCAGTGACTGATGAAGTTTGAGTACATATCGGAAACATGACTTTAGCACTAACAGAGGTAAGTTTAACTTTAGGGCCTTCACTTTTCTCTCAAACGCAGTCATGTTTCTCTGTGCCAAACCTGTAGGTTGCGGTCTGACATAAAAATGCAGCAAAATCCAGAGTCCAAATTTGCCAAAACTTAAGATTAAGTTCAAGATCCAGATTTGTACGTAGATCCATACTTGAATTTTGTTTCTTCTCAAGAAACTGTAATTGAAGCTCTTAAAATTCATGCTTTGTGGATATGTTTCATCTTTCACAGTCCAATTCTCTTCTAGACCACTGGTTTTAGGAAATGAAACTTGCCTCAAAACTTGAAGATATTGGCTATCTGCATTAAATAGTTTAGACTATAACATAATTTTAGAGCTGCATAAAATTCTTGAGTATCATCTTTATTTGTAATGTAACATTCTATATGAAATATTTAAAGAAATTAAAGGAAAGGCTTTGTGCATTTTCAATTACTGCTTGAGAACCGATTTCTTTCTCCAGTTTTTTCTGTTAGCACAGATTGCCGCTGTGAGCTTGACTTTATGGCTGAATAGACATTTCAGTACAAAAAAGGGTCCAAGTGATTCAAATGGTTACATGATGCTTTGGCACCTTGTGCTGGTTATATCACCTCCAATCCAAGTGGTTTCAGTATAAAAATAGACAAGTTGGAAGAAGAACAGCTGTCATCTTTTATGCATAGTTTTAAATTTTTTATATGTGATGTTAGTGTGTGTGGAAGGTGCTGGATGAGCCCCGGGGCTGCTGCCGGCCCTGGGCTCTGAGAGCCGGCGCGGTTGGTGGAGGCACGGAGCGAGGCATGGCCGTGCCCCGCAGTGCCAGCCATCCTGGCCAAAGAGGTACCTGTCTCCAGCACTCAGTCACGTTGTGGGAGAAGACTTTCCTGGTAGGTGGTTGGTGCCATTTTATGAGAATGTGAACACATGGTTTTGGGTTTTTTTCAATTTTGGCTCTGGTAATTGCTTGTTGGTTACAAGTCATTATTGAGACTTCAGGATTCCCAGCAACGTTCACGGCGTAAAAAATAATTTCCCATCTGATATATTAAACTACAGTCTAGAGACTTTAGGAAGCAAATGAGATTGTTTTGGATACTAGTCTCAGTGTTTGTATTAAGGCAGCTGACACCCACTCTTGACTCTGTCTATACATTAATAACTTGACTCTGAGCATTAAAATTAGACATATATTTTTTTTATTCATGCCAGGATTTCTTTGCGTGTACCCCATGCCATGTACATCACCTTACTTTGGCTAAGCATTGAAAAGAATTAAAAATACAGCCTTCCCTCCACATCATTCTGTTATGGTTTGGTTTGCTTTGTTTGGGCAGGAGGTCTGTAGCTTCATCCATGTTTTTTTATTTGTATATACGTATACATAAATACACAGAGTTTTGTAACTGGGCTCCACCCCTTCACCCTCAGGAATAATTGTTCTTCACTATGCCCAGCTCCCAGCCCCCCTGCAGCCCCGTACATCACCGTCAGCCCAGCAAGGTGCAGAGCTGCTGCCCCCGCATCCCCTCCCTGCGCTGACGGAGGCCTGGCCCGCGGTGGGCAACACGGTGCAGCAATTGCTATCTTCAAATGTTGCATCTCGGATCCTCCTGATTCTTGGCGTGCTCTTATGCCCTAAACGCGCTGGTTATTTCAAATTCATTGCACGTAAATGTGCTTTCAAAATGAATGCCTTTTGCTTAGAAAATATTGCCATTCTTTGTATAATGTGGTGAAAGGTTTAACAGTGGTGAATTGTTCTTGTTCATGCATGGAAAGTATATAATCAGTAATTTTTCAGCGTAAAACTGTGTTCAGAAATTATACCAGTGGTATAAGTATTGCAGCTTTCTGCTAGCACATTTATGTAACCATCAAATTACTTGCAGTACAAATCCAAAGCTATTCAAAGCAGATCTTCTGTAGGAGTTTAACTCCAGGGGTCTGCATGTCTGTGTTAGTTAGTCTGAACAACGAAGCACTGGATTAAAATGTGCACCCTCAACTTTCGATTGCACCAGAAGGGGAAACAGGGGGGGAAAACCTTGGCCAGCCGTCATCAGTTTGTTCAAATTGCAGGCTGTTTTATATTGGGATCAACAAGAGAATATCCTGAAAATATACTTCGAAAGATTTCAACACATTGCAAGAGTTGAGTCTCCTTTCCTAAAGGAAAATCATAGATAGCTTCCAAATACATAATACATGACCTGCTTTTGATTTCCTTTGGAAATCCTTGGGATTTTGCATTTGGAATAAAGACTGGAAGCATGGGTTTAAGATTTGTGACTTTCTGGGATGAAAGAGAAGGCGCAGACTCTGAGCGGTGCTGCGTCCATAGCAGACCACGACTGGGGAAATGAGACACAGTTTGCCCTATTTAAATAGTAACATATGTGGTTGGATTCTGAGGATCTTCTACGTAACAATTTACGGTGTGAATTCTCCAAGGAACTTCATTTTCAAAATAATTTATACCAAGTTTAGTCAAAACGAAGCAAGTGACTTTACACTTGCTGAACATGAATATCCATGGGAGGTGTAAATGTGGCATAGCTAACCCGTGCTCTGCTTTGTGATACTCGGCGTCAGCAGAGCAGCTGTCACTACTTTGCAAGGGCTAACTGTTTACTGTGCAACGCTCTCACTCGCTGCTTGTGATCTTTGTGAATGGAGAGCTGAATTTGTTCAATAGGTTTTCTCATTAAGGAAGGATTTTGCTTTTGGCTAAAAATTCAAAAGCCTGTAGTCCCGCTTGTCCAGCCTCATCCTCGCAGGAGCTGGGGCAGCTCCGCCACGTGCTCTAAGGTAACTCTGCCTTGCTGGGATCCTGCGCACGGGCAGAAGGGACGATCGTGAGCCAGGGGTACTTCGGTTGAAAAGAGAGCTGAAGCAGCAGCGAGAGGGCATTATGCTGAAATAGAAGGCAGAGGGGGGAATAAAATGTGACAGTTATAAAATGTATTATGTAAGAAATTCTGTTGGTGTTTAGATTTTATTTTTAAATGATATAAAAATAAAGTTGTGGGAAAATTTTCTTGGATTTAGTTTACACAAATATGTCTGTGTTGTTACAGTTAATGTAGAGAGGGAACATATAGCACAATAATAATCTGTTATTCTTGTTGTTTGCTATAGTAAATGCAGAATAAGGAGGTCTGTTGCCGAAGAAAAGGAAATTGTATGTGTGGGATAAAAATTCTTAACAGGATTATCGGATTGTATTTCCAGCAGTAGAGGCAGCACATTAAGTGTTCTGGTGTCTGTGGGCTGCGTTACCTGGCTACGCTTGATTATCTTTCAAAATATACCACATCAGTTGCGTTGCCCCGTGTCTACCGTAGGGAAAATCCCCCAAAGCATCTTGTAAGGAAGGGAAATACCATTTCATCTTTTATCCTCACCTGTGGAGGGAGACGCGGGTTCACAGTACTTTCTGAGAAGGCTGGATTTGTTTCCCCGGTAGGTACAGCTTCTGGCAGGTGTCTGGAGGATCACCTTGACAGTGTCGTGGCACCGCAGTGGTCAGTTTCCATTGGAGCCTTGTTACCTTCGTATCTGCCAGGGATGCAGCTGCACCCAAAAGCCATGGTTAAGGAAAAGAAATCCAGCTCTGTCTCTATTATTTTGTAACAAACAGGAAAAGGCCCACATCCCATTGCTACCACAGGTCAGCTGTGGAGGCTTGAGTTCCCACGGTCTCTTCTGGGCAAACTTTTGGAAAGTATTGTATTTGTTGAGGGTTTTTCTCTTGGTTATGGAATGTTTGTGTTTCTTCAGCAGAGAAAACCTGCAAAATACAGGCACTATACTCCAGGAAAATGATGACATAGGATTATCCCAAAAGGCTTCAGCCCTACTGTGCAGGTGTCTGAATAGAGACACATTTACTGGTGTCTCAAACAACTTCCACCCTGGCAACACAAGCTATTTTATTAAATACACTTAGTGCTTGTAGGAGGAGCATGTATTCAAAGAGAACTTGGGTTTTGGCCTTCAATTTGTACCAAGTTTTTCTCCTGTACCAGCATACTTGGAAAAGGAAAGGTGAGGAGGGTGTATATGCCGTAGCAGGAATTGCTGTAATGGATGTGGCATCAGACTGATGGCTGTTTGTGTTGACGCTGGAATAAGTGAGACAGTTTGCAACACAGAGACCTGGCAGTACGGCTCCTCTTCCAGTTCTGGCTGTACAAGGAACTCACACGCACAAGACAAAAACTTCCCTAGCAGGGTCAGTCAGCACTCGGCGTTCTTACAGAAACTGGTTAAAGGTAACTTCAAGTTCAGGGCACAAGCCATACAATATTTCTCCTCTTCTTCAGTTGCTGTCATAGAAGAACCAAATGGTCATTTCTGTTTGCTGTAGGCCAGGGATCCTTTATTCGTTTCCAAGTCTTAAAAAAAAATAAAAAATCAATAAGCTACTGTCATGCTTTGCATGTCGGATAATTCACTTATAAAGGAGAAACTGTTATAGTTTCAAAGCAGTGAATCAAAGATAATTTCCTTAGTGACTGACTTCGTATTTTCCTCATTCATGGTGCGGATTGAGTGACAGGAGTTCTTGTTAACGTGTTTGTGTAATTGTCAAATCTGACTTTTTTTCAGATACCTGGAAGGAAACCATCTGACTGCTGTGCCGAAGGGGCTCTCCGCCTTCAGACACCTGACACTGATGTAAGAAACACGTGGTTTCAATGTCAAGAAAATTACATGACCCTTTCTGCACTATGTTGTAGGTGGAACATAAATAATTAGTATTTGGGGGGAAAAACCCACAAAACCCCAAAAACTTCTGTAATTAGAAGTTGGAAAGAATTTCACAGTGGCCACTGCTGCCAATAAGTGTTCATAAAGAGTGGAGAGAGAGTGAGGCGACTTGAGAGCACCAGAGACCCTTCCTCTGCAGGAGCTTCCAGCCTCTGAGAGAGGACTAAGCTCTCATGCAGGCTGCTACAGTTTCACTTGGCAGATTTATCTGTGCAAAGCTGTAAAGGTCATTAACGGAGGAGACGGCGTTAATTTGTTCTAGGTGAGGCAGTATTTATAATGCTAAGGCAATGAAAATTTGCATAGCTGTTTCTGCTATGAACAGTCATACAGAGACACAACTAGACTCTTTTCAGTAAATTGCTCCCTGAAATACACAGGAGTGAAATTTCTTGCCTGAGCTATTTATCAGAAATCTTCAAATGCTGTTTGAATCAGCTGTAGATACTCCAGTCAAATGGGCAGAACAACCTCAGACAAAAACAACATGGAGGGGAAAACTGGAATCCTCTGTTTTAAAAGTGTTTTATTTGGAAACATCTCTAATTTTGTTTTTCAAGGGAGAGCAACAATAAAGCATTCTGTTTGACCCTAAAAGACTTTTTTAAAATTAAAAATGAAATTTTGTTCTAGTAGCTGTCAATGTGAAGAGCATATGGAAATGGTATGCCTGTAATAAATTGCAAAGCAAGTTGGTACAGTAAATATTCACCCATGCTTGTATTATCTATTAATTTATCCTTCTTCAAAAATTTTACTTGAATTCACTGATTTTTTTTTTTTTTTTTAATGTTATGTGCTGGAAATATGCCTTGATATTTCTGAGTCTGAAGCTTTTTAGGGGAGTCTGATGTGCTTTGCTTTTAGAGCTTATTCAAAGTTGGTTAGAAAATATTATATCAATTGATAATATGTGACTTTTCAATTTCTTCAAGCATTTTTCTGTGCAGATATTATGTAATCTTCAAAAAAGTCTTATTTCTTAATTTATACATATAAATGATATTTTCTGTCTGTGTTTCTTCAGTGATTTGAGCAACAACAGCATAAGCGTACTGGCCAATTACACCTTCAGCAACATGACCCAGTTATCAACACTGTAAGTAGCCCAAAGTTTTGGTAACAGTTTTAATTGCTTTTCAGACACCACCTTAGGCATTGAACGATTAGTATATATCTTGTTACTTAAGCATGTGGCTTTCCATGCTTCTTTGTCGTTGAATTAGTAGTGAAATAATGAAAGAAAATACAGTGTTGTAACTCTGTTCTCTCATTCTCCCAGCATCTTGAGTTACAATCGACTTCGGTGCATTCCAGTCCACGCGTTCAATGGGCTCAGGTCTCTTCGAGTGCTGTAAGTACCACTTCTTCAATGCAGCTGAGTTGCAGCTTATTAGAATGCTGTTGATGGCAGGGAGGTTTTTAATGAGCAGATGGCTTTCGCTTGATTCAGTAGTCGTAAATATTTTCACACAATTAGCTTCAATGTACTTGTACTTAGGTGCAATATGTCCGGTAATGACTAGAGCAGGTGAATGCTAAACTTTGAAAAGAAGCAATTACATATTTGCAGGATGAATGACTTTTCTCTGATAGTTCAGGGACAAGAACTATCATGAAAATAGGCCTCTAAGAGACTGCATAGAGTCTGTCTCTTCTACTTGAACAATATTTGGGTGCTCCACAGGAAAGGACTTTTCTCTTGATCATATTTTAGTGTGTAAGTTTCCATTGGATGCTCCAGCAAGAGTGTCTTTACTGAAAACGTGCATTTTTAGAATATTTTCTATTAATTTAGATTTCTGCAGGCAAGTTGTTACATAAAAGTATGCAATCTGAAGGGAAGTAAGTTAGAAGTCCCCACACTAAAACAATGACTAAGTCAAGCCAGTGGCTGGGTGCCAGTAATGCTGAGATGCCTGTCTCAGATCTCTTTAAGTTGTGAATAAAATTTCACCCCGTGTTGACTGGTGGCACGCTCAGAGATGTCCACGCGTGATTTCTTTCTTTGGAGATCCTTTGCTGCACTCTTTCCTTCCAGTGTTGTTGCTTTCAGCAGCTTTCTGGATTGAACAATTTGCTTACAATCTCTTCTGAAAGTCGTCATCTTTATATCATCTTGGACCGTGGGCTGTGGGCCTGTTCCTTGCAGCAAGCAGCCCCCCCAGCTTTTCTTAGGCATCTGCTAGACTGACTCCAGCTTCAGTCTCGTATTTACTGTCTCTTGCTCCCCTTCTGCCCCATCAGAAACAAACCCTGAGCTGGGTTTGCTCAGCTGTTTGTGTGCAGCTGTCAGGACAAGGCGGAGAAGCCACCTTCCTCCCCACTGCCCAGCAAGACAAGTGGGTCAGCATCACCTGCACAGTAAACTGAAAGCAAATAAATTAAATGGCTCATCTGTGATGAGATTAGTCAGTCTGGTGAAGGAGAAAGAGCTTTGAACTTCAAAGTAGTATTTTCTATTTTTTCTTTAAAGTTAGATGTCATTCACGTGCAGAAGTTTCTGTGAATTTAAAGAGCAGTGGTTGCAGTGCACTGACTCCATAAGCATGGAATTAAGGTGTCAACATGGGCACTACTGCAACTGTGGAAGCAATAAGGCAATACTCTTTGGCCGAGTCCTTTCACTGTGGTTTGAGTGGTAAAATAGATATATCTAGGTTTCAACCTCCTAACTTACGAGACAGCTTTAGATTCCCAGTTTTCATTATTAAAAGCAAGAAAGATACGTGATTTGGACTTGTTTTAAGTTTGGCTTGGGACTCTGATTTCTAGCGCAGTAGGATGGCCACATTTGAGCTGTTACATGAGTCCTGAAATTCAGCCACAGATTAATATATTCTGTTACATGGCCAAATAAATTATTCCATATGGAGCTGTCTTCTGGCCTGCTTCTGATATGCGAGCTAGCTTGATTAAAGCTAGTTTGGGACTCTCTACCCTGAATTACAGTGTAGGCATACCATGCTGCACTCTTTCTGAGATTTGTCTTTTCACTTCTGTTCTTGCAGGCCACATATGGACAGAAACAAAGGGCAATATTTTAATAACAACTGCTATCTTTTGGCTTTTTTAAATGATCTGCTAATCAGATTGAAAAAATAACTTCCTCCTCCAAGGGAGAAGCCCTCCCTGTCTTGCACAGAGCCACACGAGCATAATGAAGCCTGAATGGGAATCTCTGCCTCTGCTCCGTGCATTTGGAAGCCTCCAGATTGATTTGATTTATTATGGCCCACAAAACTCTGGTATCAGCTACAACTTTTGCCACATGTCATCTATGTTGTTATTAAAAATCAATTCTCCAGAGAGAAAATGTCTTCCGAGTGACAGTGTGCAATCTGTTATTGTCAGTTATTTATTATCCATATTCTCAGGGGAATTTAAAAGAGAAAACATCAGCAAAACAATTTCCACTTTTTTTTTTTCTTTTCATAAAAAGAATATAGAGATCTCATTACCTTTGGCTGTGCATGCCTTTGAAAGTAGCAGACCCTTCTCATACAGGCTTCTGTGTCATCCAAATTCCTTATGTTTTCTTTACTTTTTGCCCCTCTGTAGTAAATAAAGTAAATATGTATTTGAAAATCAGAATAATCATAGATGTATGATGAAGTTGATCTTCAACAGATCTGGTTCTGTCCTCTTCCTCTTACACTTTTCAGCACAAGCCCAACTGAGAAAACTGCAGAGTCAACATGTTTATGTTTAAGCCTGAATATATATCAGCTTTTACACAATCAGGCCTTTAATCTTCAGTCATCGCATGGCTTATCCATAATGGCAGCCAAAGTGTGCTGGGGAGCAATTCCAACATAGAGTCTGAAGAATTTTTTTTAATAAGCAAAAGTTGATATCGGTAGGTTTTTGCACCAAAACTATTGCAGTGAAAAATTGTGGGTTTGTTTTTTGGTTTTGTTTTGGGTTTTTTGTCCGAAGCTAAATGTAAACAGATTTTAAAAGCTGAGATTGAGATAAGGAAATTATAAATATTAGAATTCTCTGGTTGACCTGAACTGATTATTTTAAAGTTTGTTTTTCTTGTGTGACGATGTTGTAACTTCTGACATTTTGTCCTGCTTTAATTAAGAGGCAAAGTCCAGAAATAAAAATATTTATAATTTTATTTGTAATATATAAAAACAATTTTCCATGTTATATTTATGAAAAAAAATAAAATTAGCTACAGAATATTCTACTAACATGAGATATTCTAGTTTTACTGAAAACGGATGGATATTTTACTGCAGTTCAAAGTTCACACAAACATAGTAATACGTGTGATGATATAGCTACCACAAATACTCTTCAGGCACAACCGTGGAACCAGTTTTTGCAATATACTTTCATTGTTGGATGCTGCACTGAACTGACGTAACAGAAATATTATTTGACTTTGGTTTTGGTTTTGGTTGGGGTTTTTTTTTGCATCACAGAATGACTACTTGCACTTCTCCAGCAAATGCGTAAAAGGCGCTGCTGTTAGGAGCATGGAGCAGTGACACTGTGGCTGCCCACGTCCTCTGACATCTGAGCTGTGTTGGGTCCTGCGGGGTCTGGCATCCTTCGGGGTTCATTGTGCACGTCTGCCCTGGATGGGATGTGGCTCTGTAAGCTCAGCCAAGCTTCCAGCCACATTTCTGTCTTTACAGGGTAGATCATTGTTTACTGAAAAAGCATCCCCTTTGTGTCTCTGGTAACCTAACGCGTGAGACAGTGGGCTACGGGGCAGGACTTGGGAACAGTTAGCAAAAAGCAAAACCCAATCAAAAAAAAAACAACCCAAAAGGATATGTTTAGTTCATTTTCTTACCTGAAGACAAAGTAATAAGTTAGTGAGATGGCATGTAAAAGAAAGTTTTTATTTCAAGAATTCAAGTGGTTTGTGGCTCTGAGAGGAGATCCCCATCACCCTAAATTCATATCCCTGCTGTTTACCAGTATTTAGACAAGCGGATATCTAGAAGTTGTGCTTTTGAGGGAGAACAGGGACATCAGTGTGTGTGCTTTAGCTGTCAAAACGTTTAAGATTTTATTTGACCATTTGCTTCTAAGGATTTTTGGTATAAAAATATGCTCCTGTTGTTGATCCAAGAGGAAGAAGGTTTTATTGCATTGTTAAATTCTCTTGCCACTATTTATTATTGTGGGTTGTAAGTTTTTTAGCATTTATCATTTCATTTTAGTTGCATGGGTGATGATGTTACTGACGTGATTTTTTTTCATTAAAATGGAGGCATTTGCATCCATGAAACATACCTCAATGTTTGAGATATGTAGTCAAGCCATTCATTCCAAATGGGTTTATATTTTTGATCGTGTTACCTTCTTACAGATAAATGGCTTTGTCATGCTTCAGCTTTTCTTGGAAGAAGTTTCCAAGACATCTAGGAAAGAAAATGCACCCCTTCAGAGAATAAACACAACTGATACGACATGAAGATAAATATAAGTTCTGCTGTCTGTTCAGAGAGAATCATCTTGCACATCTTTAAGTAGTTTAAAAGATCAGAATATAAGCTCATTATGAGTTTCTGCTTATTTAAGTATGCTCATTTCATTGAAGGAGGGAACATTTTGATGGCAAGTTGTTGACCAGACCTGACCTTGCATCCTCATACCAACAAAAATACTCCTTATTTAATAGCTGTGGGGTATGTCTCAGTCAGTTGGTCATTCGGTATAGAATTAGTGAGTGTGCTTTATCTGGAGTTACTGTGTGGGAGCTCATATCCTTCCTGTTCCTGGTCGGATTAATTGCTTGGAGATCCATCCTTATATATGCCAAGTATTATTATTAATAGCTGAAACCTAGGTATGCTTAAAAGCAAATTTCAGAATCGGGATATTGGAAGGGGAAGTTTTTGGTATACTGGTGTCAAGAACTGGAGAGAGATGCCAGCAGGATAACTGCTGTAGTTTATGTGGTTTCATGCTCTGTAGAAAACCTGCAGTACAGTAAGAGAGAAAGTGCAGCTGCAATGAGCAGCTGTGAAACGTGATCATGGTAACATTGCCTACGCTCACATAGTTCACAGCCCCGTGGCAGGGCCCAGGCTCACGGGAGACAGGACAAGGTGTATCTTCCCCTGGCAAGTCTGGCTTTCCTTGCTGTGTGTATGCTGGTGTAAGGCAGTGTGTAAAGGCAGAATTCATGAGAGTTATAAGGCATCGTGTAGATCCTGGTGAAGCTTATAGTGGTGTTAAGGTGGAGAAAGGGAAGAAAGGATGCAAAAAGAGATGCTTTTATTTTCATCACATTCATATCGTGTATTTCCATGGGCCCAGATGTTTGGTTTGTTTTAAACAAACTCAGTGTGCACCATTTCAAGCATCTGTACAGTCACAAAAATAAAAAATAAGATGTGATTGCTGTGTTCCGCAAATCACTAGGTCAATTAGAAAATAAATGATGCGAGGGAGAGAGCCGATTCAAAACTGACACACGGCAGGTTTCTGTTTTCCACCCTCCTCTGCCACGTCTGGAGCACTGACGGTAATTCCTGGACCTGGGAAAGAGGACATAAACAATACAGCAGTTTGCTATAACTGAGCCAGCTCAGGGGAGAAGTGCAGAAGAAAATATAGTTTTACAGTATTGATGTCCTTTTCCTTTGCAAGTTTTGTACCAACTTTTGTTTAAGAAACAGCTAGTGAGATCCAGCGGAATCTACTCCTACTGACTCCTTACGAGCTCGTTCTGTCTGTTACTATGTGAAGTAGTAAGCTGGTATCCAGTGACATGCAAACTAGAAAAGCTAGAATAAACTATAAATATTGCTCTCTATGCTGTTTTTTGCCAGATAATCATCTAGTGAGACAGAGGATGCAGCAGCTGAATAGCTGATTTTATTTATTTATAAAATAAAATCTTACATGATTGTGTGTCTTCTCCGGTGCATTTTCTGGGTAGTTTTTATGCAATTGTCACCCCCAGCGTCCTGTGCTCTCCCGCAGACTCAATTGTTGATGCACGTTTTTCTGTCTGGTCGTAGCTCGGTGCTGCAAGAAGCCCTACTTTGTAGCAGGGCCTTCAGGTGCAGTTGCAATGAAAACCACGAGGAATCACAAATAATGATTTTTGCTCTTGTGTCTGCCACTTTGGATACAAGTGGTGTGCTCTACAAGCTGCAAGAAAAATCTTTCCATTTATGCTTGCCTACGTAACACACACATAAATGTATTTCTTAGAAAAGAGATAAAGTGGCTGCCTAAATTGTCCTGGAAACAGTGTAGGAGCCTTTTGCAAGGATCCCGAAAACCCTGCTAGAAAAATGTTAGTTTCTTTGCGCAGCGTGAATAATGCCCTAAGACAACTGATTTCAAGTATTTTCCCTGGTAGCATAAATGTATTTGTCAAATGGATTTTTAAAATACCACACAAACAGGTATTTCCTACTGTAAGAATGGGAAACTAGAATGTGAAAGTGGAGATATATTTGCCCTCATGGACTCTTGCTCTCTCCTAGGATCTCTCTGAAGTCAATATTTAATTTAACTTTCACAGTTCCTAGTTTCCCTCTTCTGTTTTTTCTGTGTTTCTGGCTAATGGGATTCTATGAAAGCATGCAGGTCTGTATGTGAGGGTCTGCTTGTCATCAATATAGTTCTAATAGCATAAATAGTATGTCACCTTTTTAATTTAAAACATTAGTCACCAACAATTCCGATTGTATCATTATTTTAAATGTCAACATCTAGAAGTAGAAGTAATAAAACATGGACGCTCGTGAGTTGTGAAGCTCATAGAAACTCTCAAAGAAACAAAATTACATATCCTTCTTAAGCACCATTTCCTTCACTTGTGGGGAGCAGATAAAATACTGCGGTTTGATACCTTCCTGCTTCTCCCCTCTTCTAGGACGCTCCATGGAAACGATATTTCCAGTGTTCCTGAAGGTTCTTTCAATGACCTGGTATCCCTGTCCCATCTGTAAGTACTTCTGTCTGGGTTCATCTGTTTGATTGGCGGTTTCAGAGTTGTAAAACGGTGCATATTATTACAGATATAACATTGTATAGCTTTCTGGTTTTCCTGCTCGCTTTCCGTGTTCTGCTCCGGATATTCATAGCGCATCTGTTCAAAGGAAATAAAAGAATACTAGAACCTGGTGTTATTAGTTACCAAAATATTTTCTCAAGGAAAACCAAATGAGCAAATGTGACAGTTTCCTCTTCTGTGGACTTTGTGTTTAAGGCTTTCTTTCAGCGTTGTCTATGTGAAATGCAGAGTGTGTTATGGTCTGAGAGTGAGACAGGAAACCTCCCACAAAGAGCAAATATTAAGCAAATGTGAATTCTGTGCTTAATAAGTGTCATATGTTTTGCATACCGAAATGTTGTCAGTGTATGAACTTGTTGATGAATCAGTACTTCAGACATACATATATTTAATCATATGGAAATTGGCCATTTCACAGCATTAATACTTCATTCCATAATCTGCAAAAATTATTAGAAGTTTCAGCTATTTCAGGAAATTACTATTGTATTGGTGGAGGTCCAGGATATTTTTAAATGCAGTTTGGTTGATGAAAGAACTGTAACGACATATAGCTGCAATTGTTACAAAATAAACCTGAAGTGTAACAGTTGATGCCAAAAGAGTGAGCAGAAAATGTTTTTTCGCTGAGATAATGTGTGATACTGCACATTATTAGACAATAGACGTAAAAGAAAAGTAACTTTATGTGGCATGTTCCTTGATTACTGTCCTCAAGTAATCAAAGGGTTGGGTATGTCTTGGTCATTTTGTGAAGTGACTAGTTTCACAAGCTGATGGGGATATTTTCTGCTCTGATGCTGCCCTCATGCACGCGAGTTGATGTTGGCATACAAACAGAGATGTGTGCATTTAACATAGGTTTTATATCTCTGTTTCTCTCTTTGCAACCTTAAACATGCATTCCAGAACACTCACCTGAGCACAAGTTTCAGTTCACATTTACATACTTTCTGGATAGCAAATATGCCCTCGGACTGTCTATTTCTGCATAACAGCTTTCTGTCTCAGTTTCTCTCTAGACAATAAAAACTAAAGATATCTCAGATTGGTAGGGACAGAAACCATACGTCAGCTACTTAAGCAATTGCAACTTCAACTGAGAAATAACCTTCTCTGCTTCAAGCTTACACCTTGGTAACTAAGTCAGAGAAAATATTCATTTTGCACAAAATGTATTTCTTCATCGTGTTCCCGGTATAGTCAAGTCATTTTATATGTTGTTTGGAATGAAAGTCTGACTGAGCTGAAGCCCTGTATCTCCTTTTGGAAGCGCAGTGACACCTTCCATACTGGGAATCTGGCTTCTGAGGGTATTTTTAGAACTCAAGAGATAAACATATCATGCCCCATTTGTTTGGATTTTCCTCAGGGTTTACTTTAAAGGAAGTGCAGATACAGTTTTCCTGGGTAAACCGTTCACCTTAGGGAGTGATAAAAACCCCTTTGGCCCAATACAGTCACTGCAGTCTATCTGTTTAGATGTATGTGCTGCCAGAAATGTAAAATACACAAGGCTCAAATGAACAGTAATAAATAGGATCCATAAAATAAATAAGACCTGTCTGGGGTGTAATTTGCACAGTTGAAGAATTGAATTTTACAGTGCAATTGGGCTCTCCAATTTCTTAAAGAGGATTCTGAAACTTTTAGCAACCACAATGATTTTGCTCTTCTCATGCCAGAAAAAGCTGTGCTTATTCAAACGAAGTCATACATCATTGAAAATAAATTCGTTTTGAGCTCTCCCTGATATATAGATCTTCAAGGAGAAAGCATGCACTTGGAATAATGTTGAAGATGATACAAGGGGTTGCTACTCGTCAAACTCATAACGCACGGGAGAACAAAATTTTGTGTTAAATTTACAAGCTGTGTGGCTAAGAGTAGGATAGGTATTACGGCTGGAGAAAGCTGACTACCGAGGTGCTGAGCGGGGTGACCAGCCTGGGCCTTCTGCATCAGTACAGCTGGGGGGCGGCAGGAGAGGGAAGGCAGCAAATTCACCTTTAGAATTGCAAAGAAGTATTTGTGTAGCATAGACAAAACTATTGATTTCAGTCAGTCTTCTGGAATAGCTTTAAATTCGTTTGTAATTGGAAGAACAAAACTGAGATCTAGATACTTCAGTCACTTCTTCCATAGCTGTTTAAAGCCTACAATGTTCACCACATTTCCTTTACATTATAAACATCTTATTGTTGTAATGTCACTATTATACCAAACTATGTAGCTGATAATACCTCAGTAAAGACACAGGAAGGTTTGTATATGGTATAGACACACTGGTTTTGTTTACTATTTATTACTTTATTTACTTGAATCATATAATCATCTATTTAGGCTATGACTCTACTAATTTGTTTAGTCCAGGGCAATGATAAAAATGTTACAGCATTACTGAAGGATCAAATATATTCATAGTTAAAAAGAACCCAAAATCTGTTGGGGTAGAACCGAGACCTTCACAGTTAGGTCAGTTCCTGCATTTGCTGTCCTCACCCGTCGCTGGTACACACAACTCCGTAACTGACTCCGTTCCCCAGTACTGCCCACGCATAAACTGACCTCGGCACTCAGGGACTCCTCAGCGAAACCCTTGGTAATGGGTGCTGTGACCAGCAGGTATTTCTGTCAGACATATTTTCAATAAACACCTCAGATTCCTAATCCTATTGCATCATCTCATCTTTACTAAAATTTATGTTAGTTACCTAGAAAAATAAGCTATCCCCTCCTCTGGTTCTCCACATTACCATGGCTAGAGTTATTTTAATTGCCTTTATTCTAAGGTGCCTCAAAAGAAAAAAAAATGTGGCTGAACAGAAATATCTGCACAACATTTTGAAAATGATGGTGGTGGTATTTCATTACAGCACAAGATGTTTTTACCTTCTGGAAATATTTTGCTATAACAGGCAAAGAAATAGAGAGAGTATGTTAGAACTCATGAATGAAAATACAAGAATTCACTATAGTTCCTAGAAATGAAGGGGAAAACAAACAAACAAAAAAAAGACCCAAAACCCAAACAAACAAAAAACCCAAACAAAAGAAGGGAAAGATGCATGTGATAATTTCTGCAGTTGTACAACAATGTTATTGGTAATGATTTCTAGTGTCCATAGAGCAGCTTTATTTCTAACGTAGTTTATGAAGATTAACACGGTAACTAGTTTTCTGTTGTCCTCCCACTCCCATGTTATATATGGCAGTTGCTGAACGCTAAAGTTAATTTCTCGGTCCAGCTTTCACTGCTGCATTTTGTTTGACCTTGGACAAGTGAGCCAGTTGATCACAGTTACAGGGTCAAAAAGTCAACCCAGTAGGGTTTTTTTTTCCGCTGTAAGCAATGGATTTACAGAAGGAATGGATGGATATTTTTTAATACTGTGCTGCAGTACACATTTAATTTTGATGGATGAGCCCTAGACAGGGTTTGAACCTATGAACTCTCATTATGAATCTGTCTAGGGCACAGTGGGTTCATTAGTCACTCCAATCGAAATGTATCAACAAATTTGCTGAGGTTTCTGTCTTAATATCCTGTCTGATACGTTTTTATTTGAAAGAAGCTTGAGTTTAAAATACCATCTTAAAAATAGTTTATAACGTGCAGAAAGAGTAAAGTCTAAAACCCAGTTTGAATTACTGGTTTCTTTAGTGTCTCTTCCCTATGCTAATCTTTATTTAGCTGATTTTCTTCCCATGGCAATTCAGGTGTTGTACAGCTAAAGCCTTACGTTTACTTTCAGCAAAATAAATTCAGGCTTCCAGCACGCGTTTCTTCACACTTTCAAAAATTAATTGTTTTTAAACTGACTTTTCTGAAGTCTGGACTTTGTAATTGACTGATTGCCTGAAGAGACACTTTCTTTAAGAGAAAAAAGTAGTATAAATGAGTCAAGGCAGCACCTAAATTTAAGGTAAAAACATTGTTTTCTTTTGGATAGATCTCTATGAATAATGAAGAAGTTCTGTGCATTATAATTACACTATGTGAATGCATCTACTTCAGCCATATGCCCTAATTCAAGTGATGGGTTAACCAGCAAATGTGTTATCAAAGCCGTAAACAAACTTAGCAACCACCAGGTTGCGGTTTTGAAAACGGGCATCCTCTGTGTGTATGTTTCATCTAGTGAGGAGGCATTAACTGAGTCATCGGATCCAAACTGAATTACACAATTCACTGTTAGAATGTTGCCCAGGGCAGTGGTTGAGTCTCCGTCCCTGGAGGTATTTAAAGAACAGATAGATACGGTGCTTGAAGACATGGTATAGATGGACTTGGCAGTGATAGGTTGACGGTTGGACTCAGTGATCTTAAGGGTCTTTTCCAACCTTGACGATTCTATGATTCTATAATATGCTCATGACAGCCAAAGACTTAAATAAAAGACACCAACATGATAAATTTGATGAAAGCAATACGTCCGGCGGCATTGCTCAAGCACAATTGTTTGAAAAGGTGATTTATTGTTTGAAAAAGTGATTTGTTGTTAGGTATTAAAGAGTGGGAATACTGGAGGAGATAAATCTAAAAGACTTCCTGAATACTCAGAAGATCTTTCCCATGTTTTGAAGTAAAGCATTCCTGTAAAAGTGTAGAATAAAATGTGCCTCAAAGAGATCAGGGATGTTATCTTTGCTTGCAAGCCAAAATAACTGCTGTTAATTGTTTTACACCACTAGGGCTCTGGGTACCAACCCTTTGCACTGCGACTGCAACCTCCGCTGGCTTTCCGAGTGGGTGAAGGCAGGGTACAAAGAGCCAGGGATAGCCCGCTGCAGCGGACCCGACGCCATGGTGGACAGGCTGCTCCTCACAACGCCGACTCACCACTTCCAGTGCAAAGGTAGGAGCAAGCCGGGAGGCCCTCTCTTCTGTCCTGTTGCTTGTCCTCATGTACAGTGCTTTGTTTTTATACTCTTGGAAGCCATTTGGTTTTAAAGTGAGTTTGGGGGGGAGCTGGGTTTGGCTTTCATTTTCTGAACCATCACGTTACATTCAAGTTCCATTTTCAAGTGTTATTCCACAAAGTGCAGTTAACTGCACCACTGGAAAAAAAACAGCAGACCTCAGAAGAGTTAGTTATTCCTGTTGTTCGCACCAGGCAAGTTAGCATGTAGGATGTTGTTAGAACTTATTTGAGCAAATAAATTGGTTTTGTCCTTCTAGCTACCCCAGAAAGCTTTGGTAAAATAGGCATTATTTCAAAAATAGAGAGCACTCTAGTTATTACGTACATTTACTTGAAAACTGAGAAACTGAGAATTCTTCTGGAAAGCAAATATTTACCAAAAGTACGTTTTCATTTGAAGATCTGCAAACTGTTCTCCTCAGCTCTGTATCAGAAACTGTAGATTGTGGAAGATATTTCGTGTCTGAATACAGCGTACATTCATTCAGGAGAGGGTTGAGGTGCAGCTGTTAACGATTAGGGGTAGTCTGTGATAGGAGTATGCTGCATTAGAGAGCGGTTAGACAGATGATAAGGAGCACACTTTTTTGTGGATAAAGTAAGTAGCTTATTGCTGAATGTAGATTAGGATATACCTCTACGTTCTTATTGTAAAAAAAGTTTTGGACGTTCGCTTAGGTTACTAGCAAGTACGTGAAGATGGAGCTGTATTTATAGTGGAAAAGATGGGTCAGTAGCCTCCTCTTAGAAATGGAAATGAGGACATAAAGCCTGTTTGTGTGCTTCCCAGAGTGCCATGCACATTTACAGTACTGCTTGGCAGCATGATTTTATAGAGGCTGGGATTAAACTGCTGAACAAACAAATGATGGTGTTGAGGTGGGTTTAGAACCCAAGTTCCCAAGCCTGAGCTGAATTTTATGTCCTTTCAAGTATATTTTTAATAACTGTAACCTTATAATTTAATTACTTTGAAATGTCAGTCTCAAAACTATCAGAATTCTGACTATAATTATCAGAACGACAGACTTTATAAGTCTCTCAAATGTGAAGTACAAATATACCCTAGATACTAAAAATACCAAATAATGTACTTGTTCACACGAAGAGAAACAAAGAAAATGATCATATTTGCATGTTAAACAGTGCCTGAAAATTAATCCAGAAAGAGAAGCTAGATGACTTTTTCTTTCTGAAACTGTGATATATCAGTAGTTATGCTCACTTTCTCTCAAGACTAAGCAAGCAACTCTTAGGCAAGAGATAAGTAAAGCTGTGATCCAGGCTATTAAAAACAGCTGTATGGGTTTTCTGTAAATATTAGTTTGGTCCACTAGAAAGCTGGTGGGCTTTCTATCCCAGCTGTCTCCGTGGCTCATTTTATCTGAATAGAAGAGGAGAAAAAAGTGTTGATTCGGAGGTGGTCTTTGGAGAAGCAGAAACTGTTGCTGGTCTGGGCGAGTGGCAGTATACTCCAAGAAGCTCCAGGCCCTAGCAAAATTCACCTTTTCTCATCACAATACGTATATTTTGAAAAACAATGCATGATTTGGTAGTCTAGCTGAACCCATTTCCCATGTGCATGTTTAAGATCCCATGCCTCATGCTGTCCTGTCTGGACATCAGTGATGGTCTTTTATGGTAAAGCAACAGGATTTCTGACAATGTCACGTGCAGGTTTACCCTCAGGCTGGAGCCATGTGCGTGGCCTGGGACGGGGTATGGTGCGGCCTCGGGTTGTCCTCCAGCTGCATCGCCCTCTCATCACTGAGCTGTAGCTGTGACATGTGCCTGTCAGCAGAAGAGCAAGACCGTCTGTGGGGTGACACAGAGAGTCCAAGGATACGTCCGTACTTCTGGCTGTGTAGATTCAGTCCTAGCTCAAGTTCTGCTAGCACGGAGCTCAGGGTGGGCTGGACCCCCCACCCCCCTAAAAGCCTGGGTCATTGCTGCAGAAGTCAGCCCATGCTAAGCTTGGTATCTTGAGATGCTTGTATAAAAGTAGTGCACAGATGTCCTCTGTGACCTCCAGTAACTTTTACATTAAAAAAAAATAGAGTTTAACTTATTCTTGTTAAAATTATGTTTTTAGCCTGTGACTGAGCAGAAGGTTATGTCTCAGCAGAGCCAAGAAAATAAAAGTATGTAATGTGCAAGTCATGCAAACTCAGCTCTGCTTTTCATTAAATTGCCCTCCTAGTTATGCAGTAGAGGAAAGGAATGTGCTGGGCTGAGGGCATTTTGCTGTATGGATTTATAAATCAGATCCACAAGGGCAAAGTAATGAACTACTTAACTGCTAGGAACTAACGCTTTTCTTATTAGCTCCTACATTGATTGGCTTTTATCTATGCCATAGGAATAAATGGAAAATGTACGTGTGTGTATTATGAAATAAATAAATAATAGAACAAATTCTGGCTTAGTGACCTCTAAATCTAGCAAAGTAGCACTGCTGCCTGTCTCATGAGCTCTCTGAGGAGCTACTTTCGTATATTCTTCATATACTCTACCTTCAAGACAAAAGTAGCTCAGCTCTGTCGCATTCCACCCTGTCAGTGCCAGAAATTCAGATGTTATTTCCTCTTGCTCTCCTAACTCCAAGTTAAAAACATGTATGGCATTTAGTTAGACATAACTGCAAAGACAGAAGAGGATGACAACAGTCTTCTGTTTCATTTTTTGGATTTGTTACTTCTTGTGTATTTATTCCTCATGATTGCATGTTGCACTCTGCAATCAACTGCACCCTGTTAACGCCACCATCAGTCTGTGATCGGGATATAGCCTTCACTTTGCAGGTGCTTTGCAGCTGAGGCTCCTTGGTACCCATTTCTGTTATGTTCTTACCCCCTGTTGGTGCTGTGCAAGTATTCAAAGTTAACAGTGAAGGTTTCTGTCTCCTACAGGACGGTCCAAAGCAAATCCTTGACTGGAAGGGATTTTTTCATCCCTAGTTTTGGTAACCTTCTACAGCTCCGCCTTCTCTCTAACATCAAGTATAAGCTTCTTTTCTTCACTTTCAGGATGCTTCACAATTTACTCCTCCTTATCATTTATCACACAATAACAGAAGCTCTGTGCCCACTTCTGTTTAGCACAGGACCAATTTTAAGTTATTTTAAAATGTATTTCCTTAAAAATGAAATAAAATTATTTTAGGGTCTTTACTGCCCGATATAGTTTAAGCCCTTTTAAAGTGTTAGGTTTTATTTTTTATGTGTAAAAGCCGTTAAGTCATTAATATTCAAAATTTAGCCACTTCAAAATGACCATTTCTTTAACTGTAAATATTACTGTCTAAATTAGCTTTCTGTAAAATCTCAATAATAAAATATTGATTGACTTGGTACCCCAAATGTACTTAGTATTGGTTTGGTGTGTGTTAATTTCCCTGCTCACCCACAAACATCACTACTTCTCTGGAAGAGTTCTGTTAAAAAATGTGATTTATTAAATGGTTTAAATATGGCCATGTATATTTACTTGCATACATTTACATCTTTGCATATTTGTCTTTGTTGCATTTTGCCAAGATAGCTGAATGTTGATAATCATTCTTCTGGGCGGAACAGGAAGAAAATAAGTTTTGAACTCTGTTAAAATTAAGGATGGTAGAACACTTTGCACCTGAATATTCCCATAAGCCTCTAACTAAATCTTATGCATGTTTTTCATTTCTGCTGTTGCATCTGCACTTTCATTCTTGTTACCAGCCGTAGAAATGTCATGTTATAGTTCCCTAGGGGTTGCTATTGCAGAATTTCCAGTGCTGAGAGAAGGAAAAATTGCTGAAAGCCATATATATATAAGCCCACTCTCTGGAGATTCCCAACATGTTTTTTCAGAGCTGATGTTTGCATGTCCAGGAGAATATAAGCATCATTGAGACTTGCCTTGCACTTGATTTAAGTACTTAAAATCTCTCTAATCCCTGGGAATCCCATGCTGCTGTGTAAAGTTGCACCCACAGCAAGCGCGTTTGTGCCAATGCAGGGTGAATACTGCATTAGGAAAAAATGTATGTGTAAGTGCAGGAAGTAGTAATTTTGTAATCCAGTTCTCTATTAATACACTGTGTTTTGCCTTTCCAGAGCCAGTAGATATCAGTGTTGTGTCCAAGTGTAACCCCTGCCTCTCCAGTCCATGTAAGAACAACGGGACGTGCAACAATGATCCAGTGGAGTTTTATCAATGCACTTGCCCTTTTGGCTTCAAGGTATGACTACAAACGTACTACATGAAAAGCAATAAAGTGTTCCCCATCCCTTCTGTTTTCTTAATTGTTGTACAATGAGAAGTCAATTTTACAGGCAATTGAGCTCAAAAGATCCCTTACTCAAGCAGATTGTGTGTGACCTTTCAACTGTGCCCCGCTACAAATTTTATCCTGTGCAATAGGAAAGACATTTTTTTCTCTCTGTGCCATGACTATACAGATCATCCTGAGCAACTTGCTCTAGTTGACCCTACTTTGAGCAGGGGTGGTTGGCCTAGACAATCTCCAGAGGTCGCTTCCAACCTTGGGTGTTCTCTGGTTCTGTGATGTCAACATCCATATGAAATGGCAAGTTGATTTTATCTTCCTTTTCATTTCTTTTCTTTTCCCAGCAACAAGATAACCATTTCATAGGCTGCCAGGCCAAAGGGGAGGCAGTTCAGATAAGAATTAAGGGTCAGTTTGACAGAACGATGATACTTGCTAGCTTACATCCATCTCACACAGACTGATTAGCAGAAAGGTGAAAACTGATTAGACACAACCACTAGCTCAGCTGTCTCTGACTTCTGAGCACTAATGTCCATAGAGTGACCTACAAATGTGAAATCCTGTAGATGCCAAGCACTGTGAGCGTGCAGTGTCAGCATCTTGAGAACGCATTTGAAAATCAGAAAATCGTGTCATTGAGGAATGCGTTTTCTTCGGTAGTGATGTATAACTCCCGTTGGCAACACCGCGTCATGAGAGCTTAAGGCTACCAAGACTTTGTTTCAGAGTTGCTATAACTGGAAACCTAGCTCAGTAGTCAGTAGCTGAAGGATTAAGTATAAGTAATAGATGAGGCATATGATCTGTTCACAGCCTGGGGGAGATCGGATGTTATGGCCAAAGAAGTAGGTTGCATCCTGTAGACTGTGATTTTATTTGCATCATTGGATGTTTCTTACAGAGTCTTGGTCAGTTGAAGCAGATGCTCATAAAACACAGAGTAATAAGAACTATAGGGAAAAAAAAGAAGGGCAAAACCAGACATACGTGTGGGAAGTAAGCACAAGTATTCATGTCTTACATTTCAGGTAGGATTTAGGAATTAGTTGGTTCCGATGATATCACCATTTCCCTTCTCTGTTTGCCTAGGATACATCCGAGACGGTAACAGAGTAATTGTGGTAAATCCCTGAAACACTGGAAAAGGGAAGATGCTCATTTCTTCTATTTCACCCCAGTGCCCCCACGCTTGCTACTCAAGAATAATAACGATTCTCCTAAGTAATTGAAAAAGCCATTGGAAATTTCCTCGCATTAAAAAAGCTTTTACCCATTGGCATATCAACGAGCAACTTTTCTAGGATCTTAGAAGACCACATTGTCAAAAATTCAGCTGAAACTAACTATTTGGTAACCATTGATTTGTCTTTGCAGTGAGGGAAACTGTGGCTGTTTATCTCCTCAGGTTAATAGAACTTTAGAGAATTAAAATTAAAATTATTAAAATTAAAAGAATATTATTAGAATTATTAGAATTAAAAGAATTTTAATTTGATGTTTAACATAAACTAGATTGAATTCTTCAGATGAGACTAGGTGACTGTTAGGATAACTTGAAAAGTAAAAGCTTTCAGAACTAGCGGGAAAATACATAAATCTTTGTGTATGCCTTACTCTGTAAGGCACGTATCGTGGAACTGATATCCAGGTAGTTCAAAGTAGAAATGTGTTTGTTGTGAGCGTATCTTTTTTTTTTTGCATTTGTACTGCTAGAAGACATGTTTACAAAAGGAGGATTTATTAACAAGAATAATCAAGAATAATCCTCTAGTGATATTAGCAATCACTTTCTAGTGTACATTAGGCTTCAGTACGTGTTGTTTTACTTAGAAAGGTTTTCATAAACTCTTGAAGTGACTCAGTTTAAACGTCTCACAGAGCATCCAGCTTTTCTCCTCTCTCGCACGCTTTCTCAGGTGACGTTCGGTGTCTGAATGTAAAACCTAAAACCACTTGGTGCTTGTAAGCACTGAGCTGTCATCCAAGCATGGCAAAGAGCAAACAGACCCAGGCATGGCACTTGGAGCAGCGTTTAAAAATACTGCCTGGATAACAGTACTGGGACAATTGGTGGAAATTTAATAAGCAAAAAAGAACTGCGTGTCTTTACCACAGGTTTTTGAATAAAAATGAAATTTGACAGGTCCAAATGCAAACCATATGAAAGGAGCACTCTATCTACCACGCAGTTCTCCACCAGAGATTCATGCTAATTCAATAACAATACCTTGCTTCCTTCTCACCAGCCAGCACCAAACAGCTCTATCCATCTGGAAGCTATTTCCCAGACCTTGATAAATTGCCCTAAATCTGCCCTCTCAGCATTTGTTTTTCCTTGTTTGATGTAGATTTTGAAAAAATCCTGTGTGGAAGAGTGCATCAATAAAGTGAAAAACCCACCCTTTTTTCAAATGTAAGCTCATTCAAATGAGCTGATGGCTTTATCCTGTTCCCTGGAAGGGGACAGGCAGTTACAGAACGCTTTCTGGGGTTCCTACGCTCATGCTGGCCTTCAGGGAAAAAACAGTAGGCCAACTAGCAGAAAGCCACCTAAGTTACCTGTTGCCAAACTGGTGTCTGATGGAATCAGGAACTTCTACCAGTTAACTGTAGTTGCAAAAGCCTGTAGATTTATTTTTGACTATCACATCGATGATGGCTCAATCTCTTTATTTTTCACGATCACAAAAATGTTTTTGCTACTGAACGCATGCCTTACGGGGCTTTCAGCGATGTGTAGTGCTGCCCATAATGGCTTTGTGTAAAGTTAAAAGTTGGATAACTGGTGGACCACCTGAGCTGAGGGGCCAATGGGCCAGGCAGTTGTGTTTGATGACAGAAATATAGATTGCTCACTTAGGAACGGGGAAGGCTGTGTGCTGATAGCTATCTCTGCTGCTCCTCTTTCCTTAAAATGGGCGATGAATGTGTGTGCTATAGATAAGCCATGGTTAAAGCAGTGTTTTTTCAGTTGTTCTTTGGGGACAAAGCCCCGAAGACAGTGGGAGACGGTGTGAGAGTGCCACCTACGGCGGCTGGCAGGCTGCACAAGGCCGAGCTCCGGGGTGCCACCAGTGCTGGCAGGAAGCGTCTCTTCGTGTTACGAAACTTGTGTTTTCATATTAAACACAGACATAGGTGTAATTATCCAGCAATTTTTTTTTTTCCTCTTCTCCGTAGCATTCTTTGAAAGATTATTTAAATAATATGTGTGGTTTAGATTGTGAAGTATGATTACAAGTAGAGAAGTGAAGCTTTCTTCTTTAAATGCTGCTGGCCGCCTGCAGTGCAAGTGTGTGTGAGTGCAGCTGGTGGCTGGTAAACAGATAACGGTACCGTACTAATTCATTTATCCTGCAGAGTGTCTGGCTTTTATGTATTCCCATTGATACTGTAAAATCAAGTCTAGGGGTGTTAGAATTCAAGAGAATAATCAAACTTGCAATCAATAAGCCATTGAGAGAGGATTTACTTGAATAGCTGTAGTAAAAGCTAAGGTGAGTGAAACCAACACTCGCTGTACTTTGCCATTGCTGTATACTGAAAATGCCTCTTTGGATTTTTTTGGTTGATTTTTATGTCTTTCTTCCTTTTTTTGCTTAAAACTGAGGTAACAACAAATGAAGGAGAATAATTTTCTTTCTTCCGAAAAGAATTATTTGTAGAACTGAGGAAAGAGAGTTTAAAATACATCCGTGTTTATCTCAGTGAAAGAACTTTGCCAACCTGGAACATGAAATGCAATACCTGCCTGGGCATCGCCGCAGCCTCTTTGATTGCTCAGATAAACGGGAGCCTGAGCTGTTGGGATGCAGGGTGTTTGTCAGCTCTGGGTTCTGCTGTTACCGAAAGCTGTCTGAAATAGAAAGTGAAGATAGGTAAAATTAGTATAGCACATATCCCACACTTCAGGCAGCAGATGCTGATGCATGTCTGTGGTAGAGTTCCTCTGTAAATTTTATCCAAATCTATTCACCTCCCTGTTGAGTTCAGCCAGTGTCCTGACTTTTCTAGCAGCACTGCAGTATCTTGAGGGTTCAGGCAATTTCACCAGTCATCCAGAATGACAGATACAATTGGAAAAATCCTGGGTAAAGCTCTTGGGCTTTGGAGAGGCAGTATTCTTTGCAGCCAGACTCTTGTGGTGGGAGGCATTACAGTGAAGCCAGAATGATATTTAGTGAGGAAGCTGGCTCCAAAGTTCTGCTAGGAATTTGGCTCTTCCTCCCCCCCGCCCCCCGTGCCAGGTTTTCGTCCCTGAAAGCAGGGTTAGAAATTGAGAATCTCAGAACAAAGTGTCTCTGGGATATGCGGAATTCGTGTCTATCACATGTCGTACGCAGATATAACTAACGTGCCAGTACTTGAGCAGATAGATGTAGCTGAGCAGAAGCTGTGACTGCTCAGCACAGGGCTGATAAGCAGGTTATGTCAGTACAGACCCCCTACCATTAGCATGGACTCAGTGCTGCACTGACCGTATCGTTTGCTCGTGGGGTGCACATGGCCTTGCATTTGCCTGGAGCACGCCAAATGAAGTTTGCGCTTTGCCGTGCAGATGTACTTCTGTAGCGTTATGTGAATAATCTGTCAGAGTCCTAGAATAATGGCTGTTTTAGGACTATTCAACATAGAACTGATCCTAAAGCGTAGCTATGGTAGTGTTTGCTCATGTACAGATATTCTGGCCAGCTCTCACAGCTCAAGGCCAAGACAGTGCAAGTTGATTGCGATGGGCCAGTTTCTCACTTAGTTGTGCTGATTTGAGTGGGGTTATGTGAGTGTAACCAAGTGTAGAGTTTGGCTGCTGATGCATGCCAGCTGTGTGAGAGTCCATGCCTAGTTTTTTAGGCTAATGCTGTTTGGAAATGTAACTCTGCTTTTGTTTCTTTGGATCTATTAACATATGCATATAAGTCCCCATTTACATCAGTGAGCGCACAAATAAA